TCTCACAAGGAAGCTTTAAATTTGAAAGTTCATGGAGGGGTAGAAAAAAACCACAACCACCCCTTCCTAGAGGGCTTTTAAGTTATATGTGAGATGCAGAATTTTAAAAATACAGAACTCGGAAATGTGAAGGGATGTGTTTTGTTGGAGCAGCACAGTAATGCTATGTTTCTAAAGACTTCAGAACTTTGATTTCTTTAATAAATTTTTGGTGTTATTTCCATTGTTGTAAGCAAGTTTCCATCTGAAAATTCACAGCAGATTATTTTCAAAACAAAGAATGTGATTTTTTTACAGAAAATAAAATATGTAGCTGTAACTTGTGCTATTGTGGCTCTGGGTTCTGAAATTGCGCTGACGAACCATTCAGGTGTTAGTACCAATATCTGTTTCTGTGAGCTGGGCCTCAGTCATTAAGGTTGTGTAAAAACAGTTACACTCTGGGAAAATGAATGCCTTACGCTGTCAGTAAGAGGTGAATTTCTGCTGTATAAGGAAAACACAATTAAAAATTCAAGAACAAAAGAGAGAAGCTGGGTAGGAAGCTCACATGTGCTGTTTATCCCCTCAGTTCTCAAAGCTGTGGCTGCGTGGTGGGCAGGGAGTGCTGACACAGAGGGCTTCTGGCTAGGCAGAGAAATTAAAGACAGTCCTGTCGCTTTAGAGGAAAATGCATATGACACTTTTTTCCCCTGAATTGTGGAAGTTGCATTTGTGTTAGTTAAGAAGCATGCGATTAAAAAATTCCAGTGTGAGAAACTAAAAATTAAAATGTGGATTTTTTTGTTGTTTTGTTGTTGTTTTTTTTGTTTAAATATTGAAACATGTATTGAGTAGGTGTGATACTTTAAAGTCTGCATTTAAGGAGATACTCTGAGCAGAAAGTTGCAATTGAAGGTTTTGACATGTGTGCCAAGAGCTGAACATATGCTAGTTTTTGCTACAAGTTAAAGACTCGTGACCAAAATGTTGACTCTTCAAGAACACTTGGGAAAATACTCTTTAAATTTCTACTGGACTTCAGTGTTTCTCTTTTTTTGTCATCAGGTAGGATCTGTGTCATCTAAGACACTAATAGAAGATGTGTATAGCCCAGTCTTCCAGGGAATACCTGCAATATTTTTGAGACGAAATGTTTTCCTCCTCTGTTCTCACCTCCTATGCCCACCTCACCTTACTGTGAGCCTGCCCTTGGCTAGATAGATGCAGAGATACTGTGCTTTAATTACGGTAGTTACTGTAATAAATAAATAGTTGTAGTTTAGCCTAGAATTGTGTCCAAGACTGTAAATTGTGACCTATCCTTGCACTGTTAAACTTCAGCAGAACTGAGAAAGTAGCTCTGCTATGCACAACGTAAGAGTGTGAGAAAGCACCCTCTACCACCTCAGAAACTGCAGAGCAGGGAGAAAATACAGTGATACTTGCTTTGCAGAAAATTGTTAGCATAGAATAGGAGACTGTTGTCTCAGCAAAGATCTTGAAAGATGTTTAACACAACTCCAGAGAAATTAGAGCTGTGTGCTCTGTTTCTCAAAAGGTGATGAACTGAAATAATTGTATTTGAGATGCCTAGAGGAATAAAATAAACTGGCATAGACAGGAAAAAATTCCCTTCATTGTGGTGTATTTTCACATGAACGGACTGATTTTGAATAATTCCTCTTGCTATGTGGAATAAAACAGAATTTTATTCCTTACCTGGCATGAGTATTTCCTTCAGCTTCATCTTAATTAACAAAGTTCACATTAATGTTTGGGTTCTGCTGAGTATGCATGGTCATTTACTAGGAAATTTTGGGGACTAGTAGAACATCTTGTCAATACTCTCTTGGGGGAGTGTGGGAAAAAAACAATTTGAGGGGTTTTGTTGGTTTTACCTAGGGAACAGTTTCCTCTTACTAGTGATTAAAATTCTTTTCCTACAAAAGCTTTTTTAACAGAAGTCTCTGGTCATGTACTAAAAAGGTTCCAGGCATGGATAAGTGTTAACTAATATTAAATGTGTGAATATAGGCAAGCTAGATAAATGACACGCAGTTATCAGAACAGAGTTGTTGCCTTTAACTTAAGAGTTTGATGTATTTGCTAGTACACATGCAAGTAAAGAAATTGCTGGTTAAGATATATTAATTGCATGAAGGCTGCAATCAGGAATATAGCCAGCTGCAGCAGGAAGATATTATGCAGTCATGTTAGAAGAGGTTTTTCTAATGAAGCCTTTTTTTGTTCCAGGTTGCTATTTGTTGTCCCTTTTTGTTTGTTGTTTTTGTTTGTTTTTTTCACTCAGGTATAATTTATATTCTGCTTCTCTTTCAGTTTTGAAAGCTCCTGTGAAAAGGTTTTCTAGAGGTGTTATGTGTATTTTTCAGATTCCTGGAAAATTAAATTCTGTGAATGAGGCCTGGGGATATTTTTTCTTTAATACATTTTTAGCTACGTATAAGATGCTATTTGTACTGATTAAAGACAAAATAGATTTGTTTTCTTCTGGTGTGGCAAAGATATTAAATTGAATAATAGGTTTACTTACGTAGGTTAAAATGGATTTGGAAGATGGGAGAGAGAGAGAGAATTCCAAAGAGGTATCAAATAATATGTGATTATGTAATATTTTGCTGATATGTTTAGTCAAACCATTTTGACTGTGAAATAGCTTACCTTGACAAGACTACTTGCAGAAATTGTTGTTAGCAACTACCGTTACATAAAACTTGCAAAATGTGTTTATTTGTTAACCATGACTATTTGGTGTGCAGTCCTCCAAACTGTCACTGTTGTTGCTTATCTTGTTGGATTTGGTGGAATTAAAATATGGGCTATCCCAAGTGAGTGGCACTTTTTTAAGGTTTAGTATTTAGTTTCTAAAATTATTGTGGAAGAGAGCATGTGATTATCCAGCACTCCAGAACATGTATGTCCACTGCTCTATATAAATGTGTTATTGTAGGGTTGCTGGTGCTACAGTAGTGAAATATCTAGGGCAAAGGAAAATTAGATTGCAGTGATTTTTATCCTGTGTAATTCTAGTTTCTAAGTATAGTAAATGACCTATTAGTAACTGAATTACTTGAGATGATTCTTGAACAGCATCACTCATAGCTGGATTCTTGCTGGGGCTGAAAAATAGTAGAAAAAGGAATTCTAAAGCTACTCTGCAAAATGTAAATTCATGATGGTGTATTTGTAACAGATTTTTCTTTTAATAGGTCTGGAAAACATTAATAACAATGATTGGCTTGATCTTTATTCTGCTCTCCAGATGACTTTTCCTGTTGTTCATAAGGGTATGTATACTTCCCTTGTGAAAGTGTTGGCAAAATCTAGAATGTTTTTAAAACACGTCCTTGTAGCTTTTTGTTTCTTTCACTTTAGCACCCACGCTTAGAGTGTCTAAAGCAAGTGATCTCTAACTTAGTGGTTTATGCTTGATCTAGTCTGGCTTATAGCCATGGTAAGATGCAGTGTCTTTTACCTCCTAGCTCCTCAGATGAGATACAGTGTCAGTGCAGCCAAAAGCCTTGCATGCCTGAGACATGCCACTGAATATTTGGCTCACAAGCCCCATAGTTTTGCCTGTCACTGTCCCTTACCTTGTACAGTCTGCTAAGGAGCAGGATTTCATTGCAAACAGACATGCATAGTAGTGTTGGAAAAAGAATCAGTTGTAAACTTGGCACATGCCTGGAGCAGTACTGTCCTTTTAGTATGCCTGGAAAATACTTCCAAAAGTACTTTTGAGTACTGGTAAGGTGCTTGAACAGTGATTGAGGAGAGAAAGCAATTTGCCTCATTTATTTATTTAATTTTTGTAGGAGGATTTGTGGAAATGTTGTCTTAGAAAATCAGAATTTCAAAGTCTGCATGAGTGTGCTTTATTTTATTAAAACTGTAAGATTATGAGACTGTGTGAAGCACAAGGAAAAAATATATTTGCTTTGGAAGAGGATTGCGTTGTTGCTATAAATTAAAAGAGAAAAACAACAGAAAATAAAATTCCACTAAGGTCCAGTAAGTGTTGTGCCTAGTCAGTTTGCCAAACTGTATCCTTTTGTATTGCAGTGTAACCTGTTAACTACTCTGCCACTATCGTAGCATCTAGTAAATAGACATTGCCCTTCCCTAAAGAGTTTACAGGTCAAGTAACGTAGAAATTAATAAAAGTTAATTAACAGGTGACTTAAAGGAGATCTGCCGCTGTTGATATGTGAAGGTTGATGAAATAACCACACAGAAAAGGTGATGAAAAATGATAGCATGACCTTTAACTTCTAATGTGACTGCTGGCCTTTTTTTCGTTAATAATTCTTTAATAATCCAGAAGACTACATCGCCATCATAGTAATGGAATTCACTACCTTTTGGTAAAGAACTAATATTAAGCTGGTAGATCTGGGTCCTTCTGAACATGTGTTGGTGGCCTACACATAGCTGGGATTTTGTTTTGCTTCTCATGGCATCACATATCTGACCAAGTGTGGGAACCCTGGACTTAGACCTAAGCTGTTTCAGAGATGTGCATAAAGTTAGCAGAAGAATTATTAATCAGAAATGAAAAGGGCAAGGGGTATATGTGTCATGTTTGTATGCTTAAAGCATGTTGCTGATTCTATGAGAGAAGCATGTAACAATCATCTAAAATATATTCCTGAAGTAGCAGTGAGTTCAAAGGAAGAGTGAATTTTGGATGCAGTAGGAAAATAGAATATGCAGTGCATTTTGAACTGCCCCTATAAAGAGGGAAAGAGGTGATATTAAACAAAACACCTTCTGCCCCTCTGAACATGGTTTTAAGCAGGTGACCAAAAAAAAGAGGTGAGCTTAAGGTAATTTAAATGGAGAAGAATGCTCATGAAATATCACTGACCTTGGTGACTTGCTGTCCTCTAAAAAGTTTTAATTTAGGAAAAAAAAAATGGATAACATATTGTAAGATGTTTGCTGAACACTTACTTTTCTAAAGCAACTACTTTGTTTATAACTTAAGCTTCTTTTGTTAGATGTCGTCTGTTACTGAAAATGGAGATGTTATTGCTGGAAAACCAAATGAAGAGAAAACATACAAAAAGGTAAATCAGATTTATGGCATTTCCATTGCATGTTTTTCCTTCATATTGGTAATTCAGACGTGCTTGAAGTGAAATATATTGCAGAACTGATAAAGTACAGGAATGAACAAAATACATTCCATGAATTTTTTTTAAACTACTTATTTCGTCTGTGAAATCATAAGACGTTTCTACCCACTGCAGAGCTGACTATTTGAAAGTTTCTTCAGTATAGCTTTGAAGTATACAGGGTTGCTGGATTGATGGAAGTTCTTTGCTCTTAGCAACAGATACACCTCTGGGCACAAATGCTCTTGTCAGCCATTTAGTACAATAAGTTCTCAAAAGCTTTGAATGTTTAGGCAATTCATCTGGACTACAAATATACCCTGCCCACCTCCTCAGTGCTTTGCCAAACAGTACACTTCTAATTTACTTTGTTTTTTGGAAAAGTGTTGTTTACAATATATATTTACTACATATTTAATGTAGGAGCATGTATGAGTGGTAGCAGCATTTAGACATTGTAGCAGGTCGTGAGTTTGTTTTTCTGTCACCGATTCTCAGGTACCAGCATTACTTAGGTTGACCTAGTACTGTTGATAAGTAAGGGGAGCTATTAATGCACATTTTCCTGTACATCTTTACACATCCAAGTTGTTAGCCACCAGATTTGATAACTTTCTTGACAGATCACCTCAAGTGGTGGTTTTTTTTGTAATTTAGCATAGAGATCCACATAATCTTACACTGCAAGGTTAAACATAATGGGTTAGAGTTCTTAAGTTATGAGTGTTACCTACAGCACTGCTGGTGAAGTTGAGGAGAATAATAAGTTACTGTTTCTTTTCCCATCCCTTTTGTTGTCAGCTATATGAAAATATGAAAAGTACCTGGGTGACATTAACATGCCAGATTATCTCCTTTCATTTCTAAGAAAACCATTTGAGAAAACACTGTTTTTCCTTTCAAAGCTGGGTTACGTTCAGGCTTATGACCTTAAAATACTGAATTCTAAATTTTTGTGTGAGGAAAGAAGAAAAGTTCAGTGCCTGAGATGAACACTTTTACAATTTTATATTGCTAGACTAGAAAAGACAATTTACGGTAGTCTCACCAAAGGTGAGTTGCTGTTCCCCAGTCATCCTACATGCCTTTCTCTGTTCCTGTCCAACTGTAAATTCACAATATTGTACAGAAATCCTTGTAAATACTTCTCACCATGGCACAATTTCTTCTGTGTATTTTACTAGAAATGCACCTCTGATGAGATCTAACAAAAATGTTACATTGGGTGGTCACAATGAGTGTAATCTCAAAATTCTGCCTTTTTTCCTGAACCATCAACCACCTGTACTTGTCTGTACTTGTATACCAGTTTAATTCCTTTTCTTATACTTACACCCTCAGTTGTTTCGTATGCAAGATGCTGTCTTAAATATGCCACAGAGATTAGTGTTGTCATCAAATGTTATCATTATGCTCCTACTATTTGGGATGATGTTAATTTAAAAAATAATAAATTTTGACCCCACAGTTTATCTATATGTCGTGGTTTGGGCCCAACATGACAACAAAGAACCAGCCCTGTGGCCACTCACTCAGCTTCTCCCCCCACGCAACCACACACACTGGGATGACAAGCTCATTGGTTGAAAAAAAGGACAAGGAGGGTTCTTCACTAGCTAAGGTCCCGGGCAAAACAGATTCAACTTGGGGAAAGAATAATAGTTTAATTTCACACTAATGAAACACTCAAAGAGCAGGCCATGCATATGTTACCGCCACTCCTCCCTTCTTCCTGGGCCCAAATCACTTTGTTCCCTGTTTCTCTCCCGCATTCCCTGAGGTGGCACCTGGGGATGGAGATGGGGTTTAGAGTCAGTTCACAGGCTGGTGGTTCCTGCTGCTCCTTCCTCCTCAGGAAGAAGGATTCCTTACAGTCCTTCCCTGCTTCCCCATGGGGTCCCTCCCATGGGAGAGAGTCCTCCACAAACTGCTCCTTCATGAGTCCTTCCCACGAGGTCCGGAGCTGCTCCAGCCTGGGCTTCCCACAGAGTCACGGGCTGCTTTGGGAACAGCCAGCTCCCCTGGTGAATGACTCACACATAGTCCAGAGGCACAGAAATTAGAAGAGTTCTGTGGGTAATTCAAGGGGATGCTAGTGATAATTCTGAAATGTGATTAGAGTGGTCACAGTGGAATGTGACATTGGTTCCACATGAGGACTCAATAACTCTGTCATGAGCTGTGCGGTTTGGTCTTAACTTTGAAATCTTCTTTAGGGTCTTCTGTCTTCTCACAAAGCAAAATGCCAGTGTGCCTCTGTCTTCTCCCAGCAGTTCAAAAAGGGCTTTTGGTGCTTCCAATTCTGCAGTCACTTTGTGGCAAAAAGTACATGATAGTCAGATGCATACTGGATTGTCTGTAATGACCAAAAGAAAAGACATCTCTAGGGATAAGGGACGTGTTTACACTACACTGCTGAAAGGTTATGTTTTCCTTGTGAGGGGGTGGAGGGTGAGGAAGAGCAATCCTCAGTCTCATCTAAAAAGCAGAATGGCCTTTTGTTTTAAACAGGTTTGCATTTTTCTTAATTATGTCTTGTGTCCATTTATCTTTCTTAATAGCTTGCAAAGCTTATGTCTGTGCAAAAAAATTACATAAAAATGGAAAAAGTGCATAGAAAATATCTGCTTTGTGATGTAAAATCCAGTGACCTGTTAGAGAAAATTTGAAAGTATCTTGGCTTTGGAGGCTTTTTTCCTATGCCACATCCAGTGAGGAATATATATTAAACAGTGGTTTAGTTGCTTGGTCTGGAATTGTAAGTATCCCTTATTAAGAGCTGTGCATGATCTTGTAAGAGAAACCTGGGGAAAGTCAGAGAAAATAATCTCAAACACCTGGTTTTCTTCTTAATCAATCTGTTTCATGCAACTGTAAAAAATTAGGTTTTTTGTCTTGGAGATAAAGGTGTTTTTTATTGAGTGTAAATGAAACTGCTTATTTTAGCCAGTACAATTTGTCCCTTTGATACAGAGAACAATAGCTTACTAAAACCCATTTCCATTAGAGAGCAAACAATTTCTAACAGCTATTTGAAAAAAAACAACAACAACAAAAAGTAAAACATTTTTTTCTTTGAGCATGTAGAAAACCTTCACATTCTTTTCCTTGTGGAGAATTTTTCTTTTCCTTCCTCCCCCTTATTTCTGGGGGCTCTGCAGTGGATGATTCAGTAACTGGACTGACTAGTGCTGAAAGGACATACAGTTGCAGTTGCACTGTGTGGTGTGGGACTCAGCTGCTACAGCAAATGGAGAACGAGTGGGAACTAACGACTCCATAATCTGCTTCCGCTTTGTTTTTTCTCCCTTCCATTCTGTAATTCTGACTTCTGCATGCTGTTCATACTGTCAGAGTGTGCAGTGCTGAGGCTGATGTTCTCATTTAGTGCACCTCGGGTCTGACGACTAGTTAGCTGTGATAAATTAGTTGTAGCTCTGTGTAAAGAAAAAGCATGTGAATCATTCACTGGTGAAAATGGGCAATCCTCAAAATGTTCTTCTTTCTCTGCTGTAACTTTAGCATAGTTTGGCCATGGGAGAGCTCCCAAAGGGGTTATTTGCCTGTTCATTCTGGCAGAAAAAGGAATCTTGAGTACAGTAAAAAAGTTTTATTTCTGACCTCTTCTCCTGTGCAGTAGCAATATGTATAAAACATGATTCTATGTAGAATAGTTATAATAGCTATCCACATAATACAGACATCTGTAGTAACAATTGGCTTTCATTGTTTTTGAGTTCACCTTAGTCAGGAAAAAATGAACTCCCTTCAAGAAAACATCCTTGACTTCATCTAGGATAAAGCTTTCCAGAATAGCAAGTAGACTGTAGGCCTATCAGTTGCATTTCTGGAACTTTAGAGTCTTCCAGTATTTTCTTTATTATTTTGGTCAGCCCAGCTAAAATAGAGGTAGGTAAAATCTTTATCTGAATTAATTAAATCTGCATGTCTTGAGTTTCCTATAATAGTCAAGTTGTGGTCCACTTCCCTGGCAGAAGAAAACTTACAGATCAGATTTAGCTTGAGTCAAGTTATTCTGATAGCAGTTGAGCTGGAAGGATCTAATGCGTGGGTATCTTAACTGTTTCCTGAGAAACCACTCTAACAAAGTTAAAATTTTCCAAGAACTACATGAAAACTACTTTCACTAACTTTGAACAGTAATTATATAAAGAGTTAAAAAAACCCCAAACACAACAAAACACAGTATTATCAGTTGCACTTGTTTGATGATCTAGCATTTATATATATATAGCATTCAGTATAGTATGCTATAAGAAAGAAAAACTTAGTAATAGCCATTCGCCCCATCCTCCCCCCACACCGTACACTGCCACCCCCAGCAGCAAGATCCAGAGGTGAGAGTGATGGGCAGAAGTTCAGCATCATGAAGTATAACCTGCAGCAGGTGGGCAAACAGTTGATAGAGAAAAAAGTGAGCTGAAGGAAGAGTGAAGAGTTACCATGCCTGTAGTGACCTGTGGTTACAAGTTGTGGAGAAAGAGTAAAACTAGTTCAGTCAGTGGAGTTTTCTAGTAACTATTTTTATGTCCCTATTTGTGACTTGATATAAAAGGAAATTGACAGCTCAAACATGGCAGTTGCAGAAAGCATTCTGAGGTAGAGTAGCACTAAAGGATGAAAGAAGGGCTTTAGTGCAGAAGCAACAAACTAGGCAATAGCTGTACAAACTTCTGGAGCCTAGTGTCAACTTCCTAATATGTAAAGAGGGCTCTTTTAAAATGTTACTTCAAGAATACATACTGTTTTTCAGCAGGCACTCCCTTCAGGTGGTTTGGTATAAGGATTTACACAATTTATGAATGTTTAGTATCTTTTCAGGAGTCTAGAAATACTGTGTTTGCATGGGACTTCTGGTGCTTTAGGTATCCAGTATATCTGAAGAACAAATGCTTATTTGTAGTACAAAATTCACATCTGGCCTAACCCATGTGGTTTGAATAATTTTGTTCAAGTGAGACCCAATGGATTTTACTTTATTATTTTTTTTAACACTTCACTAAGACACACATCCTTTGCTGAAGGAAGTCGTCTATATGTAGCTATTCTGCAGCAATGTAGTTCATTCAGTCTGACCAAGCAACAGAGGGGGCTGCTGATGGAGAGCAAAGCAGGCTTCTCCACAGATGGTAGTGTAAGGAAATGGATTAATGGCAGCTATGTTGTGGGAAGCATGGCTGCAAAGCAGTGTTAATCAGAGGTAGCTTCTGCTCAGATGCAGTTTTCTCCCAATCTCTTGCTCAAAACTGTGATAACTAGGTATCTCTGCATTTCAATAGGCAGATTTTCAAACCTCTTTGACAGTAGTACAGACAGTGGAAGAAAGCAAGCATCATATCATCTTGCCTTGCAGAGGGGTGATGAGGTTGATTTGCTACAGGAGAGTTTATTTTTTTCATTGCTTTATAGCACCTGCAATAAGGCAGGTGTCTTCTGGAAGACTCATCATCTTTGCCCCAGGAAGTTCCAAGGCCAAACTTCAGCTGTGATAAAATGAGTTATGAAAAGGGAGAACAGATAAACAAGGACAAAGTTTACATCCACACAGTCCTAAAAAATATCCCTAGGATGTCGCACGTAAAGTAGGCAAGAATGTTAAGAGTTGTATTTTACATGAGCAGCTTGTGGGGAATGCATAAAAACTTAGAAAAGAACAATTAAAGAATTAAGAGTGTGAAAGTAACTTAATGAATGAGAGTTGAGTGGAACTTCTATACCTGCATCCCACTCAGTTCCTCTCTGCTCATGGTTTGTTTGTTAAATGATTTTTTTGTCATTAGCAGTCATGTACAAATATGGAGAAAAAACAAGAGAACTTGTTTAAAATAATAAACCTATTTACCATATCCGAAGTCTTTGTGCACCATATACTTAGAACCTATTCTTTACCATCACATCAATGGTTAGTTAGGTTTGCCAGCCATTTACAAACATGACACTCTAATGGAAATAATTACTGAACAATATATAATATGCTTTCTCAGTACAGCATAGTATACTGTAGGATTGAAAGGATTTAAGTTCTCTTTTATTTTGCTACTCTGAAAAAGGATTTCAGCTTGGAGTGATGTAGAGCAAGTGGAAGACCTATCTGTAGACAACAGGAGACATTCACGAGACAGCACATTTAGTGCCAGAATATTTATTAGTGATCCAGAGATTCCATATACTTGTGTTCTGTATTGTATTCTGTTTTCATCCTGTAATCTGTTGTTATGCTTTATGACTCTGCATATGGTTTTTATCTCTACAGGCTTTTTAGCAATGCCGTACAGCAAATATTAGAGAAAATATATAGTTACTTCTGACAAAAAGGGGCAAAGGTGTGTTTCATAAGAATGAACACAATTCAAGCTTTTATATGCAGGGATAAAACTGTAGAGAAGCAGTAGACAGGAGGAAGAATGGTGTTTCATTTTGAATACATTCATATTATGGACAGCAAGGTAAACTGACTGAAATACAAAGTGTGAGAATGCTAAAGGTGAATTGTCTAAGCATTACATGAGATGCAGAGAAAGAATTTTGTAGCTTGAGGTGAAAATAACAAAGTCATTACAGTAAATCCCCATATTATTTGCTCTAATCTAGTACTTGAATACAGTGCAATCTAAAGAGGGAAGGGTAATCTTGTTTGTGTTCGGTTTGAAGCTGAGTCTAGCAGAGTCTATCTGGGATACTTTTTCTCTCAACAGTTTAGAACTTGTGGAAGTTCTGGAGCACTTTATCCCCGTTACACTGTTTCCTGTCATGCAACTTTTCCTTTAGCTACTCTTCTCCCTTTTAAGTAGCAGCTGGTGCAATACTGGCACTCTGGGGCAGTAGTACAGAGAATGAGCATTTTCTCAGTTTGCATGGCTGTAGGTGTTTTAATTAACCTTATACTTTTGGTGCTTTCTTTGTCATTATCTACATAAGGTACAGTTAAACCTGAATTTGTATTAGTCTTGCTTTGGAGAGAAATCCAGTGGTCCCACTACCATGTCCAGAGCATGCTTGCCATATGGCAGAAAGCATTGAGCTAGCATAAATTTACTGTACATTGAGCTGTGTTCAGGAGGTGATGAGACATTCATTTTGAGGAGGTTGTTGCCAATAAGGACACATCCTGGCCTGGCACATTAGCAACCAAAATATCAGAGCCAATAAAAAGTAGTTTAGTCTGAAACTGGCAACATTTTAATGGGTTTTTGTCATCTTTGTCAGTACAAAAAACCACCAAAGCAGACAGTAATACCCTAATCAGCAAAGGAGCAATGGTGCTTTTCCTCTCTTGTGCCCTTTCTGGTAGCAAAGGCAGTTGTCACAGTGTGCACCATTTGCTACAAATGCAAGTAGTTTCCTAATCTAAAATTCATTAGCTGAAGTTGTTTATCCTGCTAATTAGTCTCATTCATTTCTTGGAGCTTCAGAAGGTGTTGATAATAGATTAAAATATTCAAGAGTACAGGCACCATAGACTGTCAGCTGTACAATTGCAGCTGATATATGGACTCAGGGCCACTTTTTAAACCATGACATGAGGCTAATAGGAAAAAAAAATTATTTCAGTCTCTAAAAGAGAACTTGTGGCACGGAAAATAATCAGTTTTTATTGCTTGTTCTGCAGCAGGAGAGTATTCAAGAGGAATTGAAAGAAATAAGAGGCTTAGGTTTGAAACTAGATTTTGCAGCCTTAATGGGCATTACAAGAGTGTCTGAGTAAGGAAGAATGCACGAAAGATAAGTTTTTCAATTTGCATTTGTAGATTCCAATAAATATACTTTTATAATCTTAAAATGGTTTAATCAAGGCTTGAGGAGCAACTTGTTTCTCTCTTCCTTGGATTCTGTTAATGATCACGAAATAATAATAATAAAGAAGTTAGGCGAAAACAAGTGTTTGTATTGATATGAATTTCACAGTTGGGTTTATTTTCATTTTAAGACTTGTGAGAAGAAAAACTTCATTTGCTAAGTCAATATTGGGTGACCAGCCCTCAGTGGGGTTAACTTTTAACAGTTCTTCACAAATCATTGACTTTGAGGCCAGCAATTGCCTTCAGCGTGCTGTAACTGCTACCAGTTTGTTTCAAAACACTTTGTAAAGTATCCTGTGTTACTTCATAACATTGACTTTCTGTTAAACCCATTGCCGTGATTTCTGCAGAAAAGATGGGTGATTACTAATGGCACTCTTGAATAGAAGTGGAAATCAACAGGAAGGTAATAGTATGTGTGGGATCTGCACTGTACCAGTAAAAAGCCTTACATTCTACACTTCAGAGGCTGTAGTTTTCTTTCAAAATTGCAGAAATCTTACAGAGACTGTTTGTGAGCTTGAAAGGTGATCCAGATTTATCCTCTTGAAATCACATTGCCAGGTTATTTGCCTTTTTGTAATGGCTTTATCCTCTCTTGTTAATAAAATACAGTGCTGTGTGGTATCTGCTGCTCTTCCACAGTCCCTTACTGTGGCAGTGAACTGGGTGGTCATCCAGCTATGAAGCAGAAGGCCTATTTGTATGTGTACGGGTTTAATCAAAGTTACATAATTATGGCTTTTGTTGGGCGATAATAATTCATGAATAGAGGCCTTTCAAGGAAAGAAGAACGTGAATCTTCTTACAACACAAAGCCAAATCTTTTCAGTAGTCAAAGTACCAGTCTAAGAATGGTGGTGGTGTTTGTTCCCACTAAATTTTCTGTTCTGAACTGTTACACAAGTACAAGTTCTGCTTGGTGTGCAAGCAGAATTATTTAGGAGCTACACATCTGTCTTTCCTAAAAATAAGCAATCTAGCATATGCTGTTTTGAGAGCTATAACAAGAGTAGTTTTGTCTACTTTTGAGCCCTTTTTTAATGTCATTGCCACTCCTGAAATGTTCTTATTTAAGTGCTGAAGTTATTCTGATTGTGAAACTTCTGTTGTTCTTTGCTTCCACTGAGACAGTCTTGTTTCTTTGGTGGGTGGGAGGTGAAACCTAAAAACAGGAACCAAAATAGTATCTTCAAACTGGTGAAAGAATGCTAATTTCTTATTTTGACACAGGTCTGCCGTTTTTTTGTTCATCCAGCAGGTTTGTCTAGACAGCATGAGGAAGTTTCAGAGATGATCTCAATTTACCTAAATACAGTATCACAATTTCGCGCTATCGTTCTGAACCGTTTTCACCCTTGCAAGCCCTGTTTGTTGAATTTAAGACATTTCACTCTCTGCATATAGATTTTTATACAGAGATTTTTCTTCCTCACCACTTCAGTTTCTCTCTGTATTCCCCCCAGTTAATGCACCTCTTGTATTGACCGTTAAGCAGAACTTAATACATGTATTTGTATCCAAAACTTGCATTTAAACCATCTGCCTGTATTATGATGCCTTGGCATGTGTGTGCAATTGCCTGGAATTTCTGACTGTTTTTTCCAGAAGATAATCTGAAGTAGTTGGGATGTGTTTCTTCTAAATCTTTTAACTTAAAAGTAGTAATCTCTCTGAGGTCTAGGAGGTAAAAATGATATGGCATTGTTATTATGAAAATTATTAAGAGTTTAGCATATAATGTTACTGATAACAGAAACCTATTTTTTCCAAACTGATGCTTGATTTCTTACTTTCTACGCAGACTACATCCTCAGCTATTAAAGGTGCTATCCAGCTGGGAATAGGATACACAGTAGGAAACCTTACATCAAAACCAGACAGAGATGTTCTAATGCAAGACTTCTATGTAGTGGAAAGTGTCTTTCTGCCAAGGTAAGGACAAGTAAATTCAATTATTTTTTAATGTAATTTCATAATTAAAGTCTTAACTAGATATTACAAACAAGGATTGTTTTCCAGTTCTAACAAAATGGGGTTAGAGTAAATTTAATGTATGAGAACTTGAAAATTGCTCTGTCACCATGTTGCCATTGAAAGTGAAAGCAGGGAGTAAACTGGAAAGATCACACTTCAGCTAAAATTTGAAACTTGTCTCTTCTGGAGAAGGAAAGTAATTGTGACACTTTCAATTTCAAGAAGCTGGTAATTAAAATTGGAAGTGATTTGTGGCTCCATATGCAATGAAGTGTTATGTTTGACATTCACATACGTAGTTTAGTTTTTAAAAACTGATAATAATACTTGCTACTTTGTTTAGATGTCATCAACATTTATGAAAATTGAAGTCCTGCAGTGTTAAGAGAAATGCAAGAATTTACACTGCATTATAAAATTTTAACCATGACTTTAGCCTGTGATGAGGCTCAGCTCTTACTAGCTGACTGCAGGTTGTGCACCATTACTGCTTTGCATTTAGCCACCTCCACCTCTGTCACTGCTGTGTTAATGGTGTAGAATTTGTAAGAATACAGTTAAGCTGATAAGAAAAATAAAGGTCATACTAATTTGGGGTCTTCAGAAGCTCACGTACAGTACTGGTTAATTTTTTTCAAGTTACATATGGACAAAGAAGGTTTAGTAAAAATGTATTTCAAAATCAGGATTACTTGCTCTGTTCAGTGTTTTCTATGTTCTTAGAAGTGCTAAGTACCAGTAGTGTCCACCATTTCTGTAAGAACATGCTGTGTATGCAGTACTCTCTGCATTTGGGAATGCCTTCTGTGGGTTTTCAAAATTTTCTTCATGTGTAGTTTTAATGCCTCTTCATAAACTGTTTCTCATAATTCACAATCCTTAAAATTACTGATGTCATGAAAAAAAAGCTAAAATGACAATGTAGTGTTAAACTGACAATGTGCAAAATAATTGCAGGCACAAGTTGATATCTCCTCATGTAAATTTGCTTGATTCAACTTCTCTTTTCATCTGTTCTGGCATATTCTTTAAGCGGAAGAAAAAATATTTCTTATGTGAAATGTAGCTTTTACATTACGGTATTTAGTTCCTAATAATTGAGAATATTTGTATCCTTGTCCTGATATTAGCTGCAGGGTTTGTGCACAGCTGTGTAGTCTTCCTGTCATAGATTAGGTAAATACAGGGAAGTTAATTATGTGCATGTGTTTTCATACACTGGAATCACAAAATTTTGTTGAAAAAAAATCCAAATTACAGCTGAGAAATTTGCATGTCATGTAGCAAAGTTTTTACTGGGCTGAAAAACGGAGTGAGAGAGTGTAAGCCATCCTAGTTGTGAAATGTGGCAGTGATGCAGGCTTCAATAATTTGTTTAGCTGTGGTACCAGCTTTGTTGTTCATGGAAATTAAATGAAACACACATGCTGAAAGTGTTTTATTACATAACACAGTTTGGAAAAAAATTTCCAATCTCTTTCTTACCATAATAGCAAAGAAGCTATTAAAATGAAATGGTTTGCAGTCCGTGATATTGCATATGTCTTCTCTCCTATGAAACTTACATGCTTGTACACTTGGAAATGAGGTTTCTCTGTTTTCTGTTGGTTTTAAGGTGGAGCTGAGGGACATCCCTGCTGCCTTAAAAAGCAAACAAAGGTAGAAGGAATACCCTGTGTGCACTAACATAGAATTTATTCTAAGAGCTTTAGTAGCATCTTTCTGGTCAGTTTCCTATAAATAAATATTAAGAAAATTAGACAAATGAAAGTAATTGCAAGAGCAGCATGACACTTCATTTCTTATGATTATGCATAGAACTGTCAAATTTCAAGTCCTTCCTATGTCTTAATGTGCGTTCATTCATCTAAAATTATTTCAATCAGAAGTGGTATCAGTTTGCAGAAATTGTAATAGTTTAGGATAGCACATAATGATACAAAGTTATTTCCTACTGGTTGAGAGTGTTGGGACATTGAGTTTTTCATTATGGCATTATATAAATTGCTCCTGGATCTATAGGTAGCTTTGTTACCCTACTGGAACATAAAAAGCTAAGGTCACATGTGTTTTCAAGGTAAGGCTGTGCTCCCAAGGTGCACTTATGGTACTCTTCACTTTTTCCTGGGAGAGGCAGTATCGTTAGAAATCATTATTTAGTTGACTTTCCCTCCCCTTTGCACTGGTCTGTGTTGAAAGCAATTAATTGAAATGAGTTACACCAGCAAATCCAGTTATCTGACCTCTACCTGGAAGCACCCTGGAGCAAGCTGAGGTTAAGAAATTTTTTTGCCACATGTCTACAGCTGGAGGATAACCTGTCAGTGGAGCAAGTGTAGCAGGTAGCTTATCAAGCCAGGCCCAGAATTTTTCCATGTGTTTTGAGTACACATAATTCAGCTGAGCTTCCTCTTCGCTGTAGCTGATTCACAGCAGTTTCCTTTTTTGCAAGCTGTCCTGTTCTACCTCCTCTCACGTTTTCCCTGCCTCCACCTCTCCTCATCCAGGTCTGGCAGCAAGGTGAGAGGACAGGTCTTTTGCAGTCACAGGCACACCTGCTGCTTTCACAGCAACACAAGCGCTGTTATGGTGGTAGTGATAAAATAGATGTGAGCCAGTAGAAATGCTATGAAACAGCAGCCTGTATGCCAGCAAGCAAAACAGCGTTATCTGTGCCCTTTTACTGTTAGGGGAAAATAGCCAACAGCCGTTTACAGATTTTATCAGTTGCAGAAGATAAGTAGTCTCTGTGTATCTGTCAGCCCCTGAAGTACACCTCAGCACCACCTGTACCTCAGCTTCAGTAACCAGAGCAAAACACTTCCAGCACTGTTCAGGATTCATGAAGGAGGAAGAAGAAAACCAGGGGAAAAAAAAAATGGTCAGTTCAGTCTTGAATGTAACTGCCTTGCTTACTGTGGCAGTGAATAACTCCATGGATTTCAGGTTATGCCTGTTAGCAAGTGATTTTGTAACTGGGTAAATTGGTCAGAGTTTTAGCCCAGATTCATGTAAGTGTTCATTTCAGGAACTGACTTTGAGTGAAGCATAGGGGGTGGATTTGAATTGCAAAGGTGCTTGCTTTCATTTGTACATTGTACCGGTGGAGGAAGTAGAAAAGTGTTTTTGTTGCTTTCAGCTTCACGGTGTGGCATCTCCTTCATACCTTTTTCTTCAGGCTGGCCAGGAGTTTATAACATGGTGCTTTTGGGAACTGAGGCATTATTAGGGGTATTATAAAGGAGTTCATTGAAAACTGCCATCCAGATTGAGTTTGAATGGCACTATGCAAATGTGCTCTTTTGGGCTGAGAAACAAATGCAGTCTCTGGTGACCCAGTTTATTCTGAAGATAGTGCCTGAAGTCTCCACCAGCTTCCTGAATAGGATAAAACTGCAGGGGGGAATACTCCAAGTAACCTGCCTTCTTGCTTTTAAACACTGCTTTGGAAATGCAGCCACAGAGTCACTTACCTGGTGCTGGTACTGCAGTACTCCAGAAGTGGCTGAAGGGTTCAGTGAGAAGGTTGAGCATCCTGCCTGTGCTATCCACGCTCTGTCCTAGGGTTCAGCTGTGTGGAGCATATTCTCCCCTTCCTGAATTATCCACTGTGTCTTGGACTTTCTTGGTTGGAACCAGGTAATATCTTGGTGGTACATTTTGTCTCTAAATCAGTAATTTGTGAAATGTTTCAATAGCTGTTTGATTCCAGTGTAGAGCTGGCTCCAAGTGATGTGAACATGGTCAGAAAGGATCATTTCTGAGTTAATAAGCCTAGCTGTGTCAGTAGGGGTGGCTCAAGCTAGTTGCTTAGCTGTGAGGCCATGCAACTGCCTGTGAGGTGGAAATGTGGGCATCTTGCTCAAGCATTTCCAGCAGGCATGTACTAAGTAAGCAGATACTTTTTATGAGGCCTGACAAGCCAAACTGGAGCTGCTCTATTCAGTCAGCTAAGTTTATGTAGTCTGCCATTTGCAGCTTCAGAAATACGGAGCATTTGAAGCAAGGCACTATGTTACAGGCTCCATCTTTGTTTTCTTATATGGAGGTTGCTGCTAAGCACAGCTGTGCGTGTGATCTTTTTGCAGCAAGCTGTTGATCAGTCTTGTGCACTTCCCTTGCTCTTTATTTTCAGGGTCTAGACCCTGTGTATTGAGAACACTTACTATGATTTCTAAGTTAACTAAAAAGTCTGTTAGATGCTGTTGAGCTGTATGCACCCTACAGTCATCTGTACAGTGAACTGGTTCAATTCCAAATTGCTTTATTGTGATGCTAAAGAAAGATTATTTGGTGTTTTTTGCGATTTTTTATTAAAAGCTTAACATTGTATTATGGTCGTATTTGAATTGCAGACCAAATATGTAGTAAAAAATACTAACAAAAGTAAAACCCTGGGTCTATTTTAACCAGTCTGGGCTTAAACCTACACCTAAAACTAAAGTATACTGTTTTCTGATATGTTTTTCGGGAAATATTGAGGAAAATGAGGAAAATTGACACTTGTCCTTGGTAATACCTTTGTACCAAAATTGTGTCATAAGTTGCATAATGGGCTAAGTAGTGTCTTCGTAAAAAAAGAACGATCTGCAGGCTCAGCATGAATTGTACTCAATGTTCACACTAGTGCTTAGCTCTTGTGTGACTTAGGCCGCTGTATTTGTTTCCAGTTGGGCAGTTCCACAAGAAAGATAAGGAAGTGGCCTGAAGCCTTTGATAAAACGCTGCTGCTCTTTGATACTTCAGTTGCAGAGATGCACAGGATGCTAAGTTTTGAAACACTTTTTATGGTTTGTGAGTAGAGTGATAGCATAGATAGGAGGAAGTAGTTTCTGTTTGCAAAACAAATAGTATTCAAAATGAGGACACTGTGGCAACAAGAACAAAAGCACATCCATTATTAATTACTTGTCTTAGCTACTTGTGCTAGTGTCAAATTCTTGGTGAACCTGTGATAA